GTTGTTCTGTTCTTTATTGACCTGTAAATGAGCAAAACTGTTCACTACAGCCATATTACTATAAAGGTGACTCTTCACTAATATAATTGAATATTGAGCATAACTTGGCAACATATTCATGATATATGCACTTACCACAGATTAAATTTTTGCCCGAGATATGCTTCCAAAGCCTCATTATTTTTTAAAGTAATATTCTATACTTATCTTGTTTTCAAAAAATGTTTACATTAGAGATCCTCTGTTGCTTTGTTTAAAAAATTATTTTGAAATTATTCTGGCTGCAACTGATTAGTTTACAGTTCTCTTCTCTCTCCCTCAAAACTTTTTAACAAACAAAACAACAAAAGGAACAAACCAAAACCCACTGCAAACCAAAACCACACCTTGATGTAAATTGTCCATAGTTTGTATCAAGGTTTTCTCCCCTCCATATTTTATTAATTTAGCATTTATTATTTATTATATTGATTTATACAGCTACCTATCTCACTGTGGCAAGTCTGAGTGATGAATATTGGAGTAAAGCCAACAAAGAACAAAATCAATCAATAACAGTAAGTTATTACACTTAGTAAGTGTACAATAAGTAAATAACAACAGCAGCAGCACAAGTCACCCAAGGACACTCCAACCTAATCCCCACAACCACAATGTTAAGAAAAATCACATTCAGAGACTCCCCGATACCCAGATACCACAGCTGAAGCAATCTAGCTTTTCAAGGATGGCGAGTAGTCCAGCAAATGCTAAAACTAATAGGCAGGAGTTGTGTAAATACTAATATTAGGTCACTGCAGATATGCAGTATTGTGTAAATACTAATATTAGGTCACTGCAGTGGTGCCTCGGAACCTACAGTATATGATGCTTCTCTTTGTAAATCAATGAAGCAGCTGCATCTTTCCCAAAACCTATGCAGATTTTGTTAGCTTCTTCCATCAGTCACTTCCTGCGTATGCCTGCACAGCCACTTCCCTTCACCAGGTGAATTAATCTAAAGGTAAGTGTAACTAAACTTTTATTAAATACATGGCGATTCTTGTGTATTTCATTCCCCCAGGCACAGGCAAGACAAGTGCAGTCTAAAAACATTAGAGTAGGATGCCCATTTTGGCCAATGCCCAGCTACTCCTTTTCCTCACAAATTACAAACCAAATTAGAGGAAGGGGGACATACACAGTATAACTATGTTAGGAGAAATATATTGACAATTGACATGACAATACCAATTCCACAGGTGAAAATATTTTACAAGATTGCTCTGGCCAGCTCTTTTGTTTGAATTATAACATAATTTAAACAAATGAAAAAAGTACAGGAAGATTTGAAGCCAAGATTTTCACTTTTCTAATGAGCAATTTTCCGTAAAATAATGAACCACTTCCTGAACCAGCCTTTCCCAACATGGCATGATAATGCTTAGAAAGCCCATCATACATCAGATCTAATATTTGTATAGATTCTTGCATGAAGGCAGCTAAAAGCCCTTAGCTCTGGGCAATGTTGCACTGTAGCCCTGAGCTGCTTGTTCCCCATGCTGCTGCTGGCTGTTTGTTCAGGAACTACAAAAATGGGATTTGCAAAAGCTGGGATGATGCTTAGTCCAGATCAAGCCCTGCACAACCAGGCATTTCCCTGCTTCTTCCCCTTTCATCCACACAAGGAAGGGAAGGCTTGCCCTCTGGTTCCTATATGGAGCAGTCTGACACTAATGCAGTACTTTTCTGTACTATTTTCCCACTTAAAGTACTATCATAGCACAATAAAATACAATAAAAACAATAGGGAATAGATTGGGGTGGGTGGATTGATCCTATGTAGGCCTATGTTAACTTGATAAGCAAGGAAGAACTGATAGTTCAGTTTCATAGAAACAAAATGCAACAATATTTTCTTTGTTGTAAATTAAAGAAGTTAAAAACATAAGGGGAAGGAAAACTGTGGGCAGAGGATGGGAAAGTGAGGGAAGCATGATTCACCCAGCCTGGCAGAAACCAAAAAGTGCTCACCAGGAAATATAAAAGTTGTAAGCTTCTAGGCTTGAGGATAGTTCATTGACTTAAGGGGCCCTCAATGAATTAATGGAAATGTATTTAAAATGCTGAGAAAGTAGCAGCCGAGGACAAAATGTCTGTGTGAGGCAGTGATCGGCTGCTGGAGGAGAGGGCACATGCCAGGCATGGCAGCCAAGAAGAACTGGGACCACAAGTAGAATGGAAGAAAGCACTGGAGATCATCTGCTCTGAAGAGCTGAAAACTACCCTGGTTGAAAACAACAGTTTTGAACTGAAGGTGGACAATATGGGAGCAGGCCACATGGAGGATGTCCTCCATTCCTGCCCTAGGGAAGCAGTAAGTGGTCCATTCCAGTGGAGGGCCAAGCAGAAAGTATGGGACTGCCTCTTTCTTTGCTCTGCAGCTCTTGGTCAAAGGCGTCCTTTGCTTCTCTGTGTCATGTGACTGTTGCTGACAAGCAGCATTTCATTGAGAGGAAAGACAAGGGATCAACAGGGTAAAGTATACAGTATCTAAGCACCAATTTACTATGTTGTTTACTATACTATTACTATGTACTATACACCTATTTATTTGTATTCATTGTAATCACTTTAAGATATGTAAAATAAGAATGATGCAGGGAGCCTCTTTAGCTAATTAAAATACAAACAAAATGGTTACTTTTTTAAAAAATATCTTTGATTAGAATAGAGAAAACTAACATTAGGACCCTGTGAGAAAATACAAGCCAGGAAAATAACTAAGCTGGCATACTTTTAAAGTGGTTAGGAGCGGAAGCAGCTGAGAAAGAGGCCTGCTTGTCAGCTGGAGAGGTATGGATTCCCAGCTCTTAGGCAACATTCAGTTGAGTTTCAGTCATCACGTCAGACTTTTCTGTAGAGACTACGTAGAGTCTGCAAGAAAAAGCAAAAAAGAAAGAAAAGATGGAATTCTTCTGGAGATGCTTGACAACAAATGCGTCATTTCTGATACATATACCTAATATTAAAGGACAACAGTTGAGTGTCCCGTCCATTCTTGTTACTTGAGGACTCCTCATTCTTTAAAGACCCACCTTAGGATCAGACTCTGGGGCCATTCAGCAGAGGTCACTCTGGCTGAGCTACATCTTACCCCAAAAGTTCTCACTGAAATCTCTCCACTGCAGGGAAAGACTTTTAAAGGAAACAAGCTCAGAGGGACTTCTCCATAGCTACTTCCCTTCTTACATCTTGTCTCCTTGGGCACTTTTCACAATCAACATCCAGAACAGAAACCCCCTTAAAGTGAAGAAAAGAGGAAAGAATATAAGAGTTTCCTTGTTTGTCTCTTGGGGATGGACTGCCTTTTTTTTTTTTTTTGCCTCACACTCCTGCACGTGTCCATTGCATGAAATCTCTAGTGCCTTTCAAATATTTCAGGCCACTTCTGAAAACCCCTACCTGGATTTCTTCAAGTTTTTCTTTTGCAGCGGCCTAACAGCCTCCGGCTTACACCAGGCTGATTTGCAGTTGATGACCTGGTAAATAATAGGGTTGTACATGGCAGCTGATTTTGCAAGCAAAGTAGGCACCACCGAAACTCTTATGGGAACGGAATCTGGTTTTCCAAAAGCTGACCACACTGATACAACTGCATATGGGATCCAAGCAATTAGAAATCCTGCACAGATCAACATTGCCACCTAGTGAGAAGAAGTGCATAACAGAGGATAAGACAATCAGAATAAGAGAATAACAGAGTTGGAAGAGACCTTGGAGATCTTCTGGTCCAACCCCTTGCTCAAGCAAACCATGTCAATATAACAAAAAAATAATTCAATTATCATATAGAAGGCACTGTATTATTGGAGATTGTTCTCAATCAGGGGAGGAAATTACCACAGAATTAGTGACTAAATTTGTGAAAATCTATTTCCATGCAACATAACAAAGAGGTGCATATGGCCTTTTAAAACCAGGGCAATCATTGGAAAACAAGAGGATATATTCCTCTAGGACATATTCCCTCAGAGATAAATCCTATTTGATTCAGCAGGAGTTATTCCTAAGCACACATAGGGCTTCAGCCTAAAAGATTATGAATGAAACAAGGCAGAGAAATAAATTCAATCAATGCAACGAGAATGAAACCACCTCAAATGGGATTGAGATTTAAGCTGCAAGAGATCTTTGTGGTTTCTTCTGTTGTTCTTGAAAGAGATGAAATAAAGGACTCACTGTTTTTCCTACCACATTTGTCCTGAATGAGAAAGAACAACATCAATCACTTTACCCGTGCGTAGTTTATGTGGCCTATCTGAAGTTTGGGTAGAGATGTGTTAAGAAATTATGATTGCCATTTCTGGGAGCCTGGCCATCATATAAAAACATACCAATAGATACAATATAATGAAGAGTATCATTGACAGACTAGATCAGGTTGTAATTCGTGGTAGCAATTCATTTTAAAGATTTTTTTTCTAAAATAAAATGAGGAAGAATAAGAGAAATAATAGACTTTAACTGGGTAACCCTACAATCACTTGAAGATAATTAGGATTCTCTATCTCATTGGATATTTTTGTGTGTGCGTGGGGGGTGTAATTTGTCCTGAAACATTTGCTTCTGTATACATTAAAGGGCTATAAGATTCCTATTGAATTAGTGTTTGAAGAAGCTGGTAAGTTCAAAGAGAGCTATATCTAAAGCACAGGATCTGGTTAGTTGGCTTCTTAGTAAATCATCTCACTAAAGCTTAAAGTGGAATGAAAAATTGCCAGTTGGAAATGCTCCAGTTCAGTGGTAAGATTCAAATATGTGAACAACTGGTTCTCTGTGTGAATGCCGCTTCCGGAAGTCCACTCTGGGCCTGGGCAACAAAAAATTAGCTACCGTTTCTGCCAAAGTGGTGCGAACTGGCTGAATCCCACCACTGCTCCAATTGAATAATAAATGTCATAAATGTTATTTTTACTCAAAATGTGTACATAAATTAATATGTGAGAAACAGAACTAATGGGAGTAGACTTTCCTGTCACTTTCATGCTGGAGGCCTCCCTTCTCACTACAGAAAGTGCCTTTGACTCATTTTCAGGCATGCCTCCTCTGCCCTTGGCCTACCATCACCCCTGGCCACGGACTGCCACAGCACCAGCTTTCAGTGTAGCCTTTGAGCGATACTCTCGTGGGAAGAAGAGATGGGCAGTTCCACTGTCATTGTCCTGTCACACATGCAGTATTACCAGTGCAGCTGAGCTGCACTTTTAATTCAATTGTATTCAGTCCAAGTTCAGGAGACTATCTACGCTAATGCTTTATCCCAGTTCTGTTTCTCTGCCTTCTGGTTTATTTGTGCTGAATGTGACTCCCTCTGTACGTCTTCCCCCTTAGATTACTTGGATAACTTGTATTTTGCACTTTCTTCCTTCGATGAAGTTGTGTATTACCTTTTACAGTATTACAACTTTATTTTTTCAGGGAGAGAGATTTGGAAATAATGTTTTGCCTTATTTCTCCATTTTCTCTGTGGAGGTTGGATAAGAATCTCCCTGCCACCTCTGTCCTCCACGTCTTCTGTCTCTTCCTTCCCTGCTCCTGCTCTTTTGCCATCTTCTCCCTTCCTTGGATTCCGGGCTCTTTTGTGATCCTTGGGAAGATGGAGTGACAGGGGCTGCCTCGGAGCAGGAAGCAGGATGGCTACATCTCCTGCTAGGGGAGGATGGCTGAGGCTGAACAGGAAGGGAAGGAAGAAAGAGAGGACTTTTGCCAGGAGCATTGAGGCCTGCTAGAGTTTCGTTTCTGAATTCAGGGGAGGAGGAAGCCCGACTTTGTCTGAGCTGACTGGAGGGAAATAGCATTGCAGACAGGGAATTTGTGGTTTTTGTTTGTTTGGCAGTTGTGCTCCAATGTGTATTTATAGAGCTGTGTGCAAATCTCCTTCAATAGCATTCCTGAGAAAATGAAATATAAATATATTTATAACTGTTCTTAGGAGAGTTGGAAGCGAGTCCTGTATATTTCATGTTATATCATTTTCTTTTCTCTTTTCTTTTTATTTACTTATCATTTTTCTTTAATTTTCTTTTACTTTCTTTTTTTAAAAAAATAATTGATTTTATTCTGTAAAAAAATTCTCTTCAATTAGAATTATTATTTTTTTAAAAAAAAACCTGCATTCAGGTGTGATGCCAAAACTATGCATATAACTATCAAACTTTTTTAAATGTAATTTCAAATAAAAGCACACACCCCATTTCCCACTTCATCTCCTCTCTCACAATTATATACTATATGCTGCTGTGTGATATTACATGGTGCTGTAAATGTGATGTATTTACACCACTTCAAATTGGCTTGGAGGAGATTTAGTTTTATATCACCAGTAACTGGTGATGGCGCATTGGGACTGAGGAGACTCTCAGGCTAATTTAATAATATGCAATCAACTTTAGGATTTAAAACACTAAGAAGGAATCGACTTGGTTTTCCCCAGAGAAAAACTCTGGCAGAAAAAATATATCTCCAAATAATCTTCCTTTCAAAATTTAGTTTTAAGCCAGATTCTAGGTGAAAAGGCACAGAAACCTGATGTGAAAGGCTAGTAGCAGGCAGGGGAATGGGGTGGGGGAATTTGCCAAGTTCAGTTTATTTTCCCACTTGTTGTCCAAATTTCCCTTTATTTCTCACACATGGTTTTTTGTTCATGCTGCTGAATTTTGTTCATGCCTCTCTATTCAGCCCATTCTTAAACAAGTAAAATAAAATTAGGGATTGTATGGACCTACCTACCTTAGTCAGCTTTATTTCTAGTTCATGGCTATTCTGAATCCTGCTGTCATAATGAGCTACATCCTTGCTGGATGACTTGACCTTTGCTATTATTTTAATATAGGAAAACACGATCACAGCAGTTGGGAATACAAGGCAGAAGAAAAAAATATTGAGAATGAATGCCTGCCCTGCCAATGAGCCTTGAGCCAGCCACCAGTCCAAGGTGCAGGAGGTGCCGAAGGGTTCAGGAGCATAGTTCCCCAAGCCAGCAAAGGGAATGGTGGCCCAGAAGGCAGCATAAGACCAGATAATGCCTAGGCAGATAAAAGCATGGTGTCTCTTCAACCAGATTCCTAGGAGAGAAAATTGAAGCTGTAATTGATTAAGTATGGGCATACAGGTGGTCCTCAACTTATGACCGGTTGCTTAATGGCAGTTTGAAGTTATGGCAGACCCTCTAAAGCTACTGACGACACAGTCCCAAATTACAGTTGCTGCACTACCCCTGCAGTTGTTCGCCCTGAGGCACCCCATGCTTCATCTGTGCATTTATTTGATGATTCATTGGGGAAATCAGGGATAGGGGGGGAATCATAAGGTGAGATGCTTCACTTAATGGCCATTGTGACATGCGACCATAATGGGTAGGCTCCATTATAGTCACATCTCAAGGACTACCGTACTACAGACACCCACATCTGTAATTGTGTCTGCACACACATATATATGCAGACACACAGAACAGAAGAGAAGCAGTGAGTCAAAGAATCAACTCGCCCAGGAATTCAAGGATGGGCAATTTGTAATTGGAATCTAAATGAAAAGTAGCAATTAAAACCTGATAAATCACTCAAGTATGGATGTATTTCAGAATTTATCTCACAGAGCTGCCTGGGAACCCTGGAGTGCAAACTTCAACACATCTAGGGAAAAGTTGTATATAATGTTCTACTTACCATAAGCTAAATAGCAGATTTTGAAATACCGGTCCAGGCTGACTGCAGTCATGGTAATAAGGCTTCCGACTCCAAAGAAGAAGCCAGTCCATCCATACCAGCGGCAGCCACTCCAACCAAAGATCCAACGGTGGGAGAAGAAGGCAATGATGCTAAATGGCTTTCCTGTCACTGTAAAAGAAAGAACAAATGAGAGGCAGGTAAAGGTCCAAAAGAAAAATGAATGTAATCCCCTTCAAGCAACATAAAAATTAAGAAAGAAAGGAGTCAAGTCAAGGAAAGGAAAGGAAAGGAAAGGAAAGGAAAGGAAAGGAAAGGAGGAAAGGAAAGAAGGAAAGGAGAGGAGAGGAGAGGAGAGGAGAGGAGAGGAGAGGAGAGGAGAGGAAGCGGCAGGGGGAGGGAGAAGGGGAAAGACAGGGAGGGGGGAAGAAAGAAGGAAGGAAGGAAGGAAGGAAGGAAGGAAGGAAGGAAGGGAAGGAAGGAAGGAAGGAAGGAAGGAAGGAAGGAAGGAAGGAAGGAAGGAAGGAAGGAAAAGAGAGGGAGGGGAGGGGAAAGGATACAGGAAGGAAGGAAGAACCTATTTCAGGTTCTTCCAATTAGTTTATCTCAATTCATAACTGAAAGGGGGGGAAATATTACTTTTGACCTTCACATATGCAAATGAAAGTAAAGGCTGTCTTACAAAGTAATGAATATTATGATAGATGACAGTGGAATGACAGATTTGCCTCAGCCAATATCTATGGTTATTACTGATCTATTGAGTTCAACAATGCTACCTAAGTGTTGTTTCTTCTGAGATATATCTGACATTTATATATCCAACAGAGTCATGCTAGAATGTATGACACAACATAAGTAAAACAATAACAATATGCTATATAGATTTGAATTCAACATTTGAAAATTCATTGGATTGGATTGGATCAGATCAGATTGAGATAAGCAACAATAAGCAAAACTGGTATTATTTCCACTCAAGGGTACTATTATCATCTTCTACCATATACCCTCAAACCTGCTCCTGAAAGCAGGGATTTCCAGAGCAAACAACTGGAATGTTATGAGGGAGAACAGCAATGGAAAATCTAATTCCATCAACAGAAGTGCTTTTGCTAAACACTGAACATACCTTTGCATAGATCTGTTTTTCCTTGAATTTTTCTTTTCCAATAATATTTCAGTAAAATTTCAACACCTCTATGCAAAGACTTTGCATGCTTCATAACTTTCAAGCTAATTCCTCATAGATCATTTAATATACAAAATGGAGGGACTACATATTTAATCATTTTTATTGAAATTAAAGAAAGCTATATAAAAGCCATACATGACTACATGAATAAATTTGGTACTGGCTCCAAATAATTGAGTTTAGAAAATAATTGCTATAATTAACTATTTCTCTCACTTCCTTTTTTTTTCTTTTTTTAAAAAGAAATTATAAATAATTGCATGATCTGTTGTAGGGTTCTTTGAATTGCACAACACAGAAGCCACAAATTTAAACGTACTTTTATTCCATTTTTTATTAAAAGCCATCAGTATAGTATGTTATGAATGAATTATAGAATGCAGTGTTTATTTTATTGAATTTTTACTATTAAATGAGCAAAACATTCCAATTTTTTAATTGATCACATTTTATTTATCATTAATTTATTAAATGTAAAATTCAGTTGACTAAATGATCAATACATCTGAAGAAAGAATAAAGATAAATTTTATTGTACACCATTATTTAGATTTTAAAAAATTATCATTCACATATTGTTATATTCCGTAACAGCATTTCCCATTCTGGTGCCAGCTGTGTTAGACCATAGTTTCTAAAATTCCTAGCTAAGCCTTGAGTACATCCATGACATCTGGAGGACACCAGTTTGATTAAAACTGTTTGATATAAATGCATTTAGCTGCAATACTGCCTTTACTAAATTCCAGATAATTATTTAAATTATGCACTGTTTCAACAATTATTTTCCATGCTGGTTGGCATTAATCATTTGTAAACACAGAAATTAAAAAAACATTGGTGGTGATGCCAAGAAGACATCACTGTAGGCCTAGCTGCTTCTTACAGGGCCCCAAATTTTCATTTTCAGTTGAGCTAAAGTGGACTTACCTGAAATCCCCAAGTCACAGACTGCTAGATTTATCGTCATGATCTCTGCTGGCTTGAGCTTCCTTTTCCGTTGTATAGCCATATAAATAACATATCCGTTGCCTAAAGTGGACAGGATCCCTACAGAAAAGTAAAATATGACCGCAAGAGTGCCATCAGAGTGGACAGAGAAGACATCTTCCCAGAAATGAGTGTTCAGTTTCAAACATGGAGATCTTAAAAGAGATAAATAGGATTAAAAGATCTGAAGAATGAGAATTCTCTATAGCAAATCCAGGATCCCTTTTCTCCCTCTGAAAAGCTATATTTGTCTGTAACCAAAGTTTTGGAAGTAAAATATTGTATCACTCTCTTTCATGTATACCTCCTCTGTACAATCATTTTCTTTCTCTCACACACACAAAATAAAGGATGCATATCTCTCTCTCTCTCTCTCTCTCTCTCTCTCTCTCTCTCTCTCTCTCTCTCTCTCTCTCTCTCTCCTCAGTATTCCAATGTAGGGAGGGGAAATCACATTTTTAGTGGTAAAGATACAGTGATAAGAATCTGTCAGGGGAAGGTCACATTTTTTGAGGAGAACGTAACCCTTTTAAAGTCTTCTAAAAAGCTTCCAATAGAACCTTTATTTAAAAGCATAACAGGTACCATTTTTTTGGAATTGCATCCAAAACACTACAAAGCCCTAACAACTACATTATTAAAGATACACTTGCTTTTAAAAAAAGCGCAATTTCTCCTCTTTTTCAAATTCTTGCTCATTTGTAAAGTAGGCTACCCCAGCATGCAACTGCTGGCATAAATAATGTTCACATGTTCTTTGTTATATTTTATTTATAATTTTTGTACTTCTCCTTTCCTCCAGAAGCAGAATACAGTTAGGGTCACATTATTCTTCCTCTTGACTAGTCTCTATTCCCATGAAATAGGTACACAAATAGTTTTTAAAAGGCAGGCAATAAATAGAAGGAGAACAGCTTTATGGAGGGGAACAGATTTCTGAACTAAGGAAAGATGCATGATAATTATAGGGAAAGAGTAACAACTTTATCAAAGAAGCAAATGCTTTGATCCCACAAGAATTTGTTTTTACTATGCTAGAATGAGCTCAGAGGAGAGAACTGTAGATCTGTACAACATTTAAAACCTTATTTAGTTCAATTTCAAGGATGCCTGACTTCTTAATGATTCCAATTGAAAGAGGGAGAAAAAAAAGATCAATTGGAAAACTACACACAACCGAGGAAAAAAAACCTAAGAAACTGTGGGGACTTCACAACCATCCTATTCCAAGGTTTGGGAGAACAACCATGTTTTTAATAATGTTCTGAATGATGGGAATTATTTGAAGCTCTAGGGATGCCATTCTAGAGGGCTGATGAGACATACTTCCTGGGTCTTGCAAGGTGAGCCTCTTTCATTGATGAGACTTGGAAAGCCTACCCACTCTGCCTGACCAGGCCCCATGCCGTGAAGGTCTTTATAGAATTAGAATAGTTCCTAGAAGCTGAGCAGCTTCTAAGCAGAACAGCTCATGAAACAATGCAACAGATCCATCGCTCCTCATGCCACTACATTGTGAACAGCTCTATACCATTCCAAGGACAGTGCCATGTAGAGTGCATTACAGTGATCTACTCTTAGCAAGTTATGACATACACTATCACAGTTCCTGATGCTTCTTGAGTAAAAAAAAAAAAAGCAATGTTTTACAATAGTTCTCCCAAAGATGTAGTATTTTCTGCCTCTTTGTATAGGCTTCTTTATAATATGGGTGTACACGTGTGTCTATATATGCATGATACACATTAATTAGAAATCACATTGCATGTGGAGCAGATTTTCTTTTTTCCATGAGAAATGTCTATGGAACCCCCGTTTAGACGGCAATGGAGAGGTTCCCTTCATGTTGAAGTTCTGGTAGTACTCGACTTACAACAATTCATTTAGTGACTTTTTGAAGTTTCAACAGTATTTTAAAAAGTGACTTATGACCATTTTTCACATTTATGACTGTTGCAGTATCCCCATGGCCAAGTGATCAAAATTCACATACTGGGCAACTGGCATGTATTTATGACAGCTGCATTGTCCCAGGGTCATATGATCACCATCTGTAACCTTCCCAGCTGGCCTCTAACAAGCAAAGTCAGTGAAGGAATCCAGATTCATTTAATGACTACACAACTCACTTAACAACTGCCTTGCTTAGCAAAAGTAAGTTTTGAGTTCAACTGTAGTCATAACCTGAGGACTACCTGTACAACAGAATAGCTAGACATTGCTCCTTTTTGGAGCCTCTACTTTGGCTGTTGGAATGTATTGGGACTAGTTGGTGGGAAAAGCACACTGGAATCCAGCAAACATAATTTCTCCAAAAGCACAATCTTTCTTTCAGTCTGTCTCAGTGTTCTGCTTTTTTGAGAAATTCCTACCCTATGGATTCCACAGAAGGGAAAATCCTTATCACAGCAGCAGGATGAAAGAAAAAACTATGGCTAGCCAAATTTTCTTTTTTTGAATGAAAGAGAGATGAGTAAAGATGTAGAAAAATTCTGCCGTGAGTTCCTCTGATAGCTTTGCTCCTAGAAGAATCTATCGCAGGATAAATGCTTGCTAATAAGCCAAATTTGATTAAATTCACCCTCTCCTAAAAAACATCCCTAGACTTGGAGTTATGTGAGGAAGATGGATCTCTCTCTCTCTCTCTCTCTCTCTCTCTCTCTCTCTCTCTCTCTCTCTCTCTCTCTCTCTCTCTCTCTCTCTCTCTCTCTCTCTCTGTGTGTGTGTGTGTGTGTGTGTGTGTCTTTAGCCTTAAAAAACCTTGACATACCTGCCTCAGCCCCAAGCAATTTTGGTAGCAAGATTTCTAACTTTGGCCAATAGTTTCTAAGAGGATGAAATAATCCAACATGACACATCACAGAACTCTTTTAAAAGACAATTCTATCCTCCCTGAAGACTGAGTACAATTCAAACAGTACTGCTTTATGGTGTACTGCTTTATGGTTATGGTGTACAAGGAATCTACCAAACAGTACTGTATAAAATTCAAAATTAAATCAACAGTAGCAGAGTCTTATCACAAAACAGATCAACATACATTTCAACATCTCCTACCAGAACAATAGATAAAACAGAACAATTTTACCTATTATTAATAAATAAATTCCAGCTATTATGTCAGCTTCCTTTGAGAGTTTTGATACAAAAGGGTCTCCATCTGGCTGGTAGTGAGGAAAATTAATATCTTGGGATGAAGCATTTTGCCTTGAGTACATTCCAGTCATATTGAAACTGATATCAGAGAAATAAAAGGCTACTGAATCACATTTATCTAAATAGGAAAAGAGAAAACAACAAATGAGTCAAATAATGTACAATATTGGAATAAAGTAAAAAAAAAATCTGGTTCAGCCATGCTTCCATTATGATTTTGCAATGCATGGAAAGTAATATAATTTTAGTTTATGGCCATGAATCTATGATCCACCTCTGCATTACAGCAAAGAGACTATTTGCATTAAAAAATTGGATGTAGATTACTAATTAAACATTACATGTTATACTGAAAGTCCCTGGTTCCACATTACCTTTACACCATATTATATTCCTAAGTTTGCTGATAATATGATACCAAGAAAAAAATTAACATATTAACTTTAAAATAAAAAAAAATGATTTAAATTAGCACTTCTGAGGTATACCTATGATTTTGGGGGACTAAAAATCGTGCATTACTATTACTGTAGTGTAACATTAAGTAAAAATCAATAACAAAATCACAAGTCCCTCTCCATACAGTCTACACTGACATAACTCTGGACAATTCTGCAAAGGGAGGAGATATGGAACAGGCATTCCTGCTGAACAGTGGATATGAGGAAGACAAGGTGGTCTTTTTAATGTGCCCAGTTGGTACTTATTTTAAATATTTAGAAATTGCTATCATATTTCAAGAACTATAGTTAATATAGCTAATATTGCTTATTTTCCTGGTCTGAACTGGATCCAGCAATTAATATGTATTTAGTAATTTTCAATATTTCCACAGTTATGATTTACTTTTAGTCCTATCTGTCAAATTCTGTACCATACTGAATTCTGGAGTAATACATGTTAGCACGTTTGTAAAAAAAATCTTCATTCAATGAAGAATTCATATAACAAGCTGAATATTCCCCAAATAATAAGGCTTAAAAAGAATTCAGTCACACAGTAGCCAAAATCCATATATACTTTTCCAGAAACTCCACGTATTTATAATCTTTCAACATTTTCTTAATGATAAAAGCAAGAATCTAAATGTACCTTAGATCGTTTGCTCTGCACGGCACTTTCCAACTACACTCTGCCCCTGATCCTCAGGTTAGAATTAATTCTTCCAGTCTTGATTATATCCAGGAAAGAATTCTTTGCCATTGGATGTGCTGACAGGTCCAGCAGTTGAAATACCTGATCTTAAGGCTTCTTTAGATACATCCTGCCATTTCACTTATTGCTTCATCCCTCTCCCTCACTCTCTACTTCTTCTAGAGTTGCTTGAGATCCTGGTAGTTGACTTATGGAGTTGATTATCTCTGAGAGCAGCTTAAAACTATATCTGCCAGATCTCCGAAGAGCCAATTACATCTTCCAGAAGGGACAGTAGGAGTGCACCTGCTGGGCATCAAGCACATTCAGGCAAGACTAACTTCAGTTTGCCAGCTACAAGTCCTTTTATAAGGGTTGAATGTATAGCTTTCAAAAAAAATCAATGGTACATTAGTTTTATAGAATAGAAAACTCCATATACAAAGACCAGTGGCCACTTGTGCAGCTAGCTTCTAATCATCTGAACAACTGATGCAACTTCAGCAAAACTACATGGCTGTTAAATCAAATCCAATTGCCAGTTTAATCCATCATCTGCTTGGAATATTAACTTTTATTTCCCGGGGATGAAATTACTATTCCCACAGGAACGTACTGGCAACTGGCGCGCAAAGGTTCTGGTCAGAGATGAAAAAGGCTAAATGCTTGTAGCGGATGAATGAATCCTCTCACCTTTTAAAGCCAGAGGCAATGCTTAGAAGCAGCACTGATACAGTATTAGATGCTGATTTGCAGGAGGAAGATCTTGCCTTCTTTGGCATTTTCTGGGCCTCACTGGTAACATACTGCGAAATGCTAGTGGTTTCCCTGGCCTCTGAATGGTGGATGGATTCTTTAGGGTTGCTTAATGCTTGGGAGGGAGATTTTCTTTTCCAGGCCCTAAAAATAGCTTAATAGACAAATTTTATTCCAAAAACAAAGAGCAAACTTTAAAAGCAGAGGAGATAAGTGTGCTTTTCTTTTATTTTGTTCCTCTTTCTGGCACAAAGTCTCTTGAATGCACTTACTGAATTGTACTAGTCTTGTAAAATAATCCTGCTTCAAAGCTTTGTGCTAATTGTGGAATGAATGCTTGGTTCTGATTTGCATACTCTGAAGCAAAGATGTCCAGGGAGGTGAGGTAAGGTAAGGTGGGAAAAGGTAGAAAGAGTATCTGCAGGATTTTTTAAATTGAGGTGAGTGGTAGAACAGGAGGAGGAAAAATTGCCTTCTGGAAGGCTAGCAGGGTCAGGGAGAAAAGCTATTCCACAAGGCAGGCACCATGACAGAGAAGGGATGCTTCCTAAGGCCCACCAAATGGTATGGCTTCACCAATGGGATCTGGACCTGATTTGTTATCTATAGGGAGAGGAAACTCCTCCAAGAGTAGAGGATTTTACAGAGCTATCACAGAGTATCTTATAAGAACATCTTTGAGCCAGGAAATCAAATGTTGCTCCTCAGACCAATGCAGATTGTCAAGGTCAAGCAGTATGGAAGTGTTGTTAAAGAAAAGGTAGAACAACTGAATTATGACATAGAGTTCCAAGGATCCAGACTGAAATCTGGCTTGAATACCCTGAAGTCCTAGTATTCTGTAGTGCTTAATACCAGGAGTAGACCACCCGTTGGGGATTTTGCCATGGGTTGGAATAGAAAACATGTCATTGGTTCTTGCCTTGATGCTCAAACAGAAGGAGGGTACCTAGCAGTTGTGCAAGCATATTAAGCTATTCATAGAACATATTAATCTTGTCTTAGGACCTGGCTATCATTGAGACTGTTGGCTCCCAGCAATATCTCTGCCTGACCAGAGATTGAAGTGGAGATGATCACCTAGCAAGCAGTTTGTATGTGAGATTACCTTCATGTCACATTCAAATGAGATTATTAAAACTGTTCTTAGGTATTTTTTAACCACTATTATAAAAGTGGAGTTCTCAGCATCAGCTACAACTGAAGTGGCCTGTATGCCCAAGAAATAAATAAACCTACCATGGTGATCCATGATAGACATGGAGGATTACTCAGCAGCCTCAGAGCTACACAAGTGTTTTAAAAAAAAACCCTGAGGAGATGCACTGACCCTCTAGGAATGCATGGGTCTACCCAGGCATCCTGGTTGCTATGCTGGACAAATGGGACAGAATAGTTTTCTGCATGGTCTACTGAGAATCTAGGAAAAAGAGCCAGGCTAGCTGTTTATTCCTCCCACTGCTGATATGATGGATGTCAACTCTACAACGAGCCAGGCTAGCTTGCCGGTCTAGCTTGCCATAGGAAAGGGAGGGGGGGATGAGGTATTTCTGCTAAACACGAATGGTTCCCGTGGGAACCAAGGTCATTCCCACACCGTGGTGGAGAAGGGGGACATTCTGTTAGAAAGCCCGCCAAGCAGTTCTATTGGAGAATGTGATTTATAGTTAAGTAGAAGGGTGGGAACTATTACATTGAATTACTCTGAATCTTGGGGGGGGGATTTTAGATTTGGTTTCACATTTGACCATGCCGAATTATGTATCCAATAAACATGTTCTTTGAGGAAATCTCATGCCTTGGAATTCTGATTTATTTGGTTCCATCAGTCCGAACCTTGACAATGGAGCAGCTAAAACAGCCAGATATTGTATTTCCACCTGGACTCCACAAAAATGTAATGGAAAGGGCTCTTGATAGAAAAAAAAAAGAAATCAGCTGCTGTCATGCAACACAAGTTGCCTTCATCTTCAGAATGTTCTCACAACTTTAAAAGACTGGCAAATGGATTTTAATGACTTTTCTATGGCATATTAATAAGATATGGTTATCTTTTAAACCACCAGAGAACAGTATCTGGAACACTTAATGCTGGTGTTCCAATGCATTAGGGAAACCAAACTCATGATTAAGGCCAGGAAATGACAAACTGGCCTAAATCAAATAGTTTAGCTGGGACACAAGCTGGGCCGGGGTGTGTGTGTTGTATTTTATCTCTGGAAGCCAAAGTGTAGGCTACCCAGGAGTCCCCATTTCTATTTTTTAAAAAAACCAACAATCAACATGTGCTATTTGGGGGGGATTATCCAGCTACTCCCAGAGGTTTGTGCTCAAGTAGAGTCAAATTGTAACATCCCTGTCACACCTAACCCACATGAACAAACCCAAGTGGGTGATGTGGTAGCTTTTCTCTGTGTTTTGCCATAGACATTATTGTTTCGTGGTATGGAGAACAGTCCTCATGTTTGAAAAAGGTGGGGGGAAGGGTACAAATCCATATAGTGGTGCAAAGGAGATGGACTAACACCATGACAAAACCAGAATTATTCCTACTATGTTTTATGGACAGGGAATTAGAAAAGAAATATGGGAAATTTCTTATTGTATATGGTAATGATGACAAGATTATTGTATGCAAAAAAGTTGAAAAAGGAATGAAATGCTTACAGTAGAAGATTGGGTTATAAAATTAACTAGATTTGCAGAAATGCTGGAGCTGACAAGTTTCAGCAGAGAAAAAAAAAGACAGATTTTTTTTTTTTTTGAAAGGCTGGAAAACCTATAAGTACTTTTTGTTGAAAGAAGAAAAAACAAATGGATGGTTTTGGGATTTGTGAATTAGATATGAAGAGATTTGGGAAAAGTTTTACTCAACAGAAAGAAGGGCAGAAGGAATAATTGAATGCTTTAAAAAAGATTTCTCTGTTGTTCATTTCTTTATAGTTCTTCATATACAAGTTCAAGTGTTTAAAAAATTGTTCAAAATTACATGTAAACTTCAAATATTATAATTCTTCTCTCTGTAATATGAAAGCTATTTATGCATATTAAACAAGGCAAGCCATATTATGTTCTCTCTATTGTGGAAAGAAAATTCTTCAGGTCCAGTCCAAGCCAGGAATAAACAAAATGGGGACTGCTTAGGAAAGAAAGTTTTGTTTATTGAAGAACATAACCAACA